GAGGAGAAACGTCATAGAAGTGCGTAAACATGTAAATCTGTTACCTCGTACTAATGAATAAACAAATATTAGGTATCGCCAATGGAGAAACTCAACCACGTCCGCATGGAATTGTCCCTAAACTTCGACCAGCCGTCTCAAGGACCTATGTTGAGCGCCCCAATATCCAAGGCTTTCTCACCGAAAAGCTCCTCCCATCTGACAGGTCCAGAGTACAACCTCGCTGTGTACTTCATGGGCTTGGAGGTAGCGGAAAGACACAAGTGGCATCATGGTGGATTGACACAAATAAGGAACAGTGAGTCACTTGGTGGACCCTTACGTACAATATTGAGATTTGTTAGGTTTACCAATATCATATTTATCGACGCAAGCAGTCAAAAGCAGATCGAGGCAGATCTGGAAGTTGCGATTCGGTCGGTTGGTCCAGAGTGGAGCGAAGGGACATGGGAGCATGCAGTAGCCTATCTGTGTATTCAAAATGGATGGCTACTGTTTTTCGACAATGCAGACAAGTCAGATCTCCGATTGGACGACTACCTGCCCAACTCGATAAACGGAACAATCCTCATCACAACGCGGAATCGGGAGTGTGCGAGCTATGCTCCAGATAACGACATGCAAGTCGGAGAACTATCGGAAAAGGAAGCGGTCGAACTCCTACACAAAGTCGCCAATGTCCATCCATCATCGAATGACAAATCTATAGCCATTGTGAAGGAACTGGGGTTGTTGGCTCTTGCAGTCACTCAAGCAGGCGCATATATTTTCAAGACTCGGCAACTCGATAGGTACTTGGGTATCTTTCGGAAGCATCGAGGGAAGCTTATGCGAGAAGCATCCCTTAAAGGAAGAAACTACGATGGATCGACGTATACTGCGTTCGATCTATCATTCCGACTACTCCCTGGGAAATCGCAAGAGTTTATGAAGATTTGCGCATTTCTTCACCATTTTCGCATCCCACAAGCTCTCTTCGAGAAATCAATCACTAATGGGTTTCGTCCTGAGTTTGATATAGAAGGGTATCCGCCTATGGCAGAAATGGAGACCCTTATATCAAGTCTTAAGGATACGTTTGGATCGGGGTGGGACGATCATGTATTCAACAAGTTGGTCGAACCAATCTTTCAAGGCTCATTGATCGATGCAATCACCAATCAAGATGAACAAACATTTTATAACATTCATCCACTCGTTCAAACATATGTTCAAGACGGCCTTGTTGTAACCAAGCCAGACCACTGTGCGTTTTCAGCTGGACAGTTACTTGTCGGAGGGGCGCGACACTCAGAGGGCAGCAACGAGTGGGACCGGGAGTTGCTGCCTCATATAGACAACTTGCCGGCAAGTATCAAAGAGGCACATATTTCCTATGCAGGGACATTTGCCGGGGTCTATGACTCAACTGGGAAGTGGAACACCAGCCTTGCTCTGTGGAGATATTGTGACGCGAAGTGTATGAAGAAGTTTGAGCAGCACAAGGCCTTAGCGTTATCGATCAAAGACTGCCTCGGAAGGGCACTCTCACAATGTGGGGAATGGAGAGAAGCCGAGAAGACTCGGCGACAGGTCCTAGAACTTCGAACTGAGGTTCTAGGACCACGGCATCCCGGTACGATCGTCGCAATGAACAACCTCGCATGGACACTCGGTGACCGTGGTCAACTAGAAGAAGCCGAGAAGATTCAGCGACAGGTCCTAGAACTTCGAACTGAGGTTCTAGGACCACGGCATCCCGGTACGATCGTCGCAATGAACAACCTCG